TCCCCAGGACCTCTCCTCCCGACCCGCTGACCTCCCCAGGACCTCTCCTCCCGACCCGCTGACCTCCCCAGGACCTCTCCTCCCGACCCGCTGACCTCCCCAGGACCTCTCCTCCCGACCCGCTGACCTCCCCAGGACCTCTCCTCCCGACCCGCTGACCTCCCCAGGACCTCTCCTCCCGACCCGCTGACCTCCCCAGGACCTCTCCTCCCGACCCGCTGACCTCCCCAGGACCTCTCCTCCCGACCCGCTGACCTCCCCAGGACCTCTCCTCCCGACCCGCTGACCTCCCCAGGACCTCTCCTCCCGACCCGCTGACCTCCCCAGGACCTCTCCTCCCGACCCGCTGACCTCCCCAGGACCTCTCCTCCCGACCCGCTGACCTCCCCAGGACCTCTCCTCCCGACCCGCTGACCTCCCCAGGACCTCTCCTCCCGACCCGCTGACCTCCCCAGGACCTCTCCTCCCGACCCGCTGACCTCCCCAGGACCTCTCCTCCCGACCCGCTGACCTCCCCAGGACCTCTCCTCCCGACCCGCTGACCTCCCCAGGACCTCTCCTCCCGACCCGCTGACCTCCCCAGGACCTCTCCTCCCGACCCGCTGACCTCCCCAGGACCTCTCCTCCCGACCCGCTGACCTCCCCAGGACCTCTCCTCCCGACCCGCTGACCTCCCCAGGACCTCTCCTCCCGACCCGCTGACCTCCCCAGGACCTCTCCTCCCGACCCGCTGACCTCCCCAGGACCTCTCCTCCCGACCCGCTGACCTCCCCAGGACCTCTCCTCCCGACCCGCTGACCTCCCCAGGACCTCTCCTCCCGACCCGCTGACCTCCCCAGGACCTCTCCTCCCGACCCGCTGACCTCCCCAGGACCTCTCCTCCCGACCCGCTGACCTCCCCAGGACCTCTCCTCCCGACCCGCTGACCTCCCCAGGACCTCTCCTCCCGACCCGCTGACCTCCCCAGGACCTCTCCTCCCGACCCGCTGACCTCCCCAGGACCTCTCCTCCCGACCCGCTGACCTCCCCAGGACCTCTCCTCCCGACCCGCTGACCTCCCCAGGACCTCTCCTCCCGACCCGCTGACCTCCCCAGGACCTCTCCTCCCGACCCGCTGACCTCCCCAGGACCTCTCCTCCCGACCCGCTGACCTCCCCAGGACCTCTCCTCCCGACCCGCTGACCTCCCCAGGACCTCTCCTCCCGACCCGCTGACCTCCCCAGGACCTCTCCTCCCGACCCGCTGACCTCCCCAGGACCTCTCCTCCCGACCCGCTGACCTCCCCAGGACCTCTCCTCCCGACCCGCTGACCTCCCCAGGACCTCTCCTCCCGACCCGCTGACCTCCCCAGGACCTCTCCTCCCGACCCGCTGACCTCCCCAGGACCTCTCCTCCCGACCCGCTGACCTCCCCAGGACCTCTCCTCCCGACCCGCTGACCTCCCCAGGACCTCTCCTCCCGACCCGCTGACCTCCCCAGGACCTCTCCTCCCGACCCGCTGACCTCCCCAGGACCTCTCCTCCCGACCCGCTGACCTCCCCAGGACCTCTCCTCCCGACCCGCTGACCTCCCCAGGACCTCTCCTCCCGACCCGCTGACCTCCCCAGGACCTCTCCTCCCGACCCGCTGACCTCCCCAGGACCTCTCCTCCCGACCCGCTGACCTCCCCAGGACCTCTCCTCCCGACCCGCTGACCTCCCCAGGACCTCTCCTCCCGACCCGCTGACCTCCCCAGGACCTCTCCTCCCGACCCGCTGACCTCCCCAGGACCTCTCCTCCCGACCCGCTGACCTCCCCAGGACCTCTCCTCCCGACCCGCTGACCTCCCCAGGACCTCTCCTCCCGACCCGCTGACCTCCCCAGGACCTCTCCTCCCGACCCGCTGACCTCCCCAGGACCTCTCCTCCCGACCCGCTGACCTCCCCAGGACCTCTCCTCCCGACCCGCTGACCTCCCCAGGACCTCTCCTCCCGACCCGCTGACCTCCCCAGGACCTCTCCTCCCGACCCGCTGACCTCCCCAGGACCTCTCCTCCCGACCCGCTGACCTCCCCAGGACCTCTCCTCCCGACCCGCTGACCTCCCCAGGACCTCTCCTCCCGACCCGCTGACCTCCCCAGGACCTCTCCTCCCGACCCGCTGACCTCCCCAGGACCTCTCCTCCCGACCCGCTGACCTCCCCAGGACCTCTCCTCCCGACCCGCTGACCTCCCCAGGACCTCTCCTCCCGACCCGCTGACCTCCCCAGGACCTCTCCTCCCGACCCGCTGACCTCCCCAGGACCTCTCCTCCCGACCCGCTGACCTCCCCAGGACCTCTCCTCCCGACCCGCTGACCTCCCCAGGACCTCTCCTCCCGACCCGCTGACCTCCCCAGGACCTCTCCTCCCGACCCGCTGACCTCCCCAGGACCTCTCCTCCCGACCCGCTGACCTCCCCAGGACCTCTCCTCCCAGCCCGCTGACCTCCCCGGGACCTCTTCTCCCGTCCCGCTGACCTCTCCTCCCGTCCCGCTGACCTCTCCTCTCCCTAAACTACAGAATGTCCCCCCACTATGGAGGAAGTGCAGCATGCTGGGAGTTGTAGTTCCTCCAAAATATATATTTATAACACTCTGAAGTGATGATACAGTCACATGATATGTCCAGCACTGCACATCAGCTGAAATTTCACAACGGGCTGCGGGAGGGCCTCACATTTGCACTTCTTGTCCTCTGAGCGGCTTTGACTCTGAAATATTTGGTAATTGTCAGGAGGTCGGAAACACCACAGCCGGGGCCCCGGAGTGTTCATGTGAGTAGGAGGGGCTTGTCACTCAAGGGGCGGGCTTAATGATTTCATCCAATCTGAAGCAAACTGACTCCTCCCCCCAAACCAAAGAGCATCAAAATAAAACCCTTCCCCCGACATCAGGACCACCCAAGCAACTGAGAGCTGCTCCATCCCCAGGGGCCCCCGGGGTGTGGTGGGACCGTCTCATTGGTCTACAAGGGGCCCCCGGGGGGTGGTGGGACCGTCTCATTGGTCTACAAGGGGCCCCCGGGGTGTGGTGGGGCCGTCTCATTGGTCTTCACACACACAACGTCTTCTGTCTGATGGTTTCTTGAAGACTTCACAGCAGTGACGAGGTTCAGCGCTGAGGGCGGGGCCACTGGTGGGAGTGGCATGTACGATCTGGGCCCCGCCCCTTAGATACGTTTGTCCTCCTCCGGGGAGCAGACGAGAAGTTCTTTGTTGCCGAAGTCCCAGCGCGCCGTCATGTGGAATCCCATATTAGAGAGGACCACCAGGTACTCCAGGAAGGCGAAGACGGTGTACACTGCGGAGGAGGCGGAGACTAGGGTAAGTGCCACTGCATGAGGGGCCCCTGACCACGCCCATGCAGGAGCCTCTCATAACTGTGCCCACACACACGCAGGACCCCCCCCCAGTTGTGCGCTGTCACCTACCTCCGGCCTCGCAGTACACGTTGTGTCGGATGAAGAACAAGATGGAGATCAGAAACGTCAGAAGATTGAAGAGGAAGAGACGCT